AATTTGTGGGAGCTTTTCTGAATGCAAAAATCGAGTAATATTTCTCTTAAATAAAGGAAAATTTTGCAGAGTTTTCACACTCATGGGTAGTTTATTCCAAATAGCAATTGCATTTACCGAAAAGAACCGACGATATTTAACAGTACGTGCCACAGGCAGAAATAAGAAGACCTCACGGTGACTGTTACGTCGTGGGTGGATATGGTGTCTTAAAGAGGTGAGCGGGTTAAATGTGTGATTATATAAGAGTTTAAATAGCAAAAATAGTCCCTTATGAAACGCCACCTAGGAGTTGCATTTCTCTTGCTATTAACATTATTAAGTACTTCAATGACAAAAACATTACATACATATGTCTTACCACAGCACCTTTTTGCAGGAACCGCCGATAACCACTGGAAATGGGACAGAAGCCATTTGATGTCCATTGAAGAACGTCACCCTTGCCTGTATATTTTGTACGGATTTCTCTCATTTGCAAATAATAAACCGTCGTTTCTAAACACTGTCTGTCTAGTTTCCTATGTCGTGGGATAGAGTGAACGCTAACCAGGCTGTCCGATTGTGCACTTACGTGGGGTGTTTGCCGCTGCTTTGCTTTCACCGAAGCTGGGAGGATTCAGTGACACATGTAATCTTACTGCGATAGCCGCCAGTTTAGAATGAGTGCACTCGCTAGTACAAAACGGAGGCCATAAAGGGGTAAGGGGACGAATGGAGAATGGAGGGGTACGACCACGCAATTTTTTCGGATGGTGTGGCCAAACCTGGCTGTAATGTCGAAGGCCACGCTTTAGCCTCGCCAAATAGCCACGTGTGGCCCCCTCATAGCCACCCCTCGCCGCGACGGCAAGGCGCGGCCAGCCGAGGCTGGTGTTGGCAGGGGTCGATTCAAAACGCCGGGATGTCTACAGACTTACATTATGTCAATCATATGTATATATGTTCTCATTTACTAAAATCTGTTAGCATATCTTGAAGACCGGTGTATTCACTGGCATGAAAATCAGGGGGCGTGAATAAGGATTAATTCATGATTGTTTTCTCTTGTGGGCACTATCAGAGGAAAAAGGCTCCTTTTAGTGGCCACCCGGTGTATTCGGCTGCTTTTGTGAGAAAAACTGGATCTGAATACTTGCAATATCTTTTGGTCGTTTCTAGTCCTCTTTTTTTCTATGGACCCTTAACTTTTGCATTGTTCGCCACTCAGTGTGTACAGTTATTTCTGTGACGAATTTGACGCCCACCATGAGAAGCAATATAAATTTAGCGACAGAAACGTTGGAGATCCGTGATGAGCCCAAGAATGTCAGCAAAACTAAGATATAAATAATCAAACACTCATTACAATCCGGGAAGTCAGAGTGGGGAGGTATTTACTGGCTAAGATGCCTTCGAAATAAAGCCCACGTCAATTAATGTTCGCTGTGAAAAATGGCCCGTGCATGCATCCACAAAGAAACCAAGTGGAGCTCATGATACACTTGACTATTTTACCTTATATGTGTCAAACCTCTTGTTACGTCTGGTTGCCTTGTCACTTTCTGTGCTTCGAAAGAGTTGTCTACGCCGCGGGTGATCTGTCTTTTTTCTTGTATGATATGGTCTCCCCTTATTTCGATTTTCAATTCCGAGTTATCCTTATTGGAGATAGTACTGTTGGGAAGTCGTCACTTCTTCAAACCTTTAACGAGGGAAAGTTCACTCAGTTGTGTGACCCAACTGTTGGTGTGGACTTCAGTTCCCGTAAAATCAGACTTTCCGATAACAAAATAATTAAACTGCAGTTGTGGGACACAGCTGGCCAGGAAAAATTCAAGTCAGATCCGTTTTGTTTTTATTCTTTAGATCAATTACTCGATCTTATTATCGTAATGCCGTCGGTGCCTTGTTGGTTTTTGACATTACCAACCGCGAATCTTTCTCTCACATCTTTGGATGGTTCGAAGATGCTGCAATGAACATGAAATGTCGCTCACCAAGCTTTATTTTAGTTGGACAGAAGTCCGATCTGTCGGCAGCGCGAGAGGTCTGTTTAAGTGTTCTTACCATTTTAACTCTTTGTGAATACTCTTGCTGGATGATTATTATTAACAATGTACCCCGTGCGAATATTCATGTAATATAAATCGAGTATTCCTCATATGAGCAGTTGTTCACTGTTCTACAAATCCATTTCTTAGTCAAACACAGTCTGTATCCAAGGGAATCAGTCATTGTATTCAGAGGTATCCCTAAGGGAAGTCCTCTAAGGCTTGTGCAAGACCTAATCACACATTTCCCTTTGACACTATTCAGGTGCCTGCATTAGAAGCGGAGTGTCTAGCCCAGAGGCTCGGAGACTATCAATACGTTGAAACCTCTGCTTTGACCGGTGCCAATGTCGAACAGGTTTTCCTTCTTCTCGCAGAATCTGTTTACTCGAAGATGAAAGCAGGGATATACACTGAGGTAACATGAGAGTTATTACCTGCACTCTTGCACCATG